GTCTCTAGAGACTTGCCTTTTCTTTACATTTCACATAAAGGAATCGTACAGTAATATGTGGTTTCTTATTTCTGGCTTTCACTCAGCATCATGTTTTCAAGGTTCATCTATCTTTTAGCATGTGTCGATAGTTCACTAGACAATATTCCATTGTATGAGTAGACCACACTATTTATTTACCCATTGATGGATATTTAAATTGTTCCCAGTTTTGGGTTATTACAAATAATACTGCTGCAAATATTTGCATGCACTTCTTTGCATGGGCATAAGCTTTCATTTTTCTCGTATAGATACTTGGGAGTGGAATTGCAGGGTTGTATGGTAATAATATGTTTATGTGTTTTAAAAATTGCCAAACAGTTTTCCAAAGTGACCTCTGCATCTCATTTTAGCACTTTCTTTATTGTCAGAGGAAAAAGACAATGTTCCTGTCATTCATTCATTCATAAAACTCCTTTCTTTATTTCACATGTATTGACTGCCTACATTGTCCCAAGTATTAATGATATAACAATAAATGACAAAATCATTTCCTTCAAAGTGCTCAGAGGCTTTTGGAGAAACAGAGAAATAGTCAGATAACTAAATACAGGAAGAGAAGTATAGAAGGAAAGCCTGCCTCTGGGCACAAAGAGGAAGAGACTTATTCTAGGCTTAGAGGAGCAGGGGAAAAGTTTTGGAAAAGGTCATACCTAAGTTGATTTGTGGAGCTATATCTAGGGGAGTGAAGTTGGAACGGCATTATAAATCTCGGAGCAGAAGGGCAACCTGCCCTGTTTATAGTCAGAACCCCTTTACTCTGATCAACTTTATTTTTTTCCATAGCAATTATTGCCTGCAATGGGCTATGTAATTTATGTTGATAAATGTGTTTATATGTTGAGCTATTGTCTGTTTTCCCTCAAGGGTAGAGATCTCTGTCTGCTTGTCCACTAATACACCCCAGATGTCTGACACAGTGCATGACACAAAGAAGGTACATATTAAATATTTGTTGAATAAATGAATGGGTAACACTAAGAGTTTTGATGAAAGTGTGTATTTAATGCTGTTTAATACAGCAACTGAAGATTAGATCCCACTGAGATGAACAAAATCAAAGTTGCTGGGGAAAGTGGATGGATTCATATGTGAGGAAGAGTAACTTTAAGATTGTTGAACATCATACCAGAAATGGAATAGCATTGTCTCACTTCGGAATTTAAGATAGACTTGGTAAGGCGAGACTTGGTAAGACAAACCAAAGGATGGTTTGATACCTCTGGCAAGAGAATAAGATTTTTTTTTTTTTAAGATTTATTTATTTGAGAGAGAGAGAGGAGAGAGAGAGAAGCACAAGAGTGTGTGTGTGGGGGAGGGACAGAGGGAGAGGGAGAGGGAGAGAGAGAATCCCAAGCAGACTCCCAGCTGAGTGTGGAGCCCAACGTGATAACCCTTAGATCATGACCTGAGCTGAAATCAAGAGTTGGACCCTTAACTGATTGAGTCACCCAGGTGCCCCAAGAGAACAAGATTTTTTTACATTAGGATACAGAGGAAAAATTGCAGGTACTGATGCAGAACTTTCAAGTAACTTTTCAGAAAGTTAGGAACTATTGAGGAGGAAGGATACATTTGAGAAAAGTTATTTTGGTTAATATAACAAGGAACAAGGGATGTGAGGGGGTAGGAGGAGAAGAAGGAGGAGGAAGAGGAGAAAACTGTCATTCCTTTAGGATTTTCCCAATGTGATTGTCATTTTTAAGGCATTTTTGCAAGTCAAATAGGCAAAGGCAGTTTTTGACACAGTGATCTGTGAATTTGAATGCAGCTTCAATGTCTTCAGTACAGTAAAAAAAAATGCCTTTGCTAATGAAGGAAGGATTTACGGAGGAAGAACTAAGGTATCTTTTACTCAAATTCATTTTGGTTCTTAGTTGAAGGACTCTCAGCCGTTTCAGTCGTGCAGAAAAAAATTCCACCGAATGAAGATTTATAATTGATTTATATTTCAGTTTTTGTTGATTGACTTTATCTTGTTATCATCTAAGATGGGCTTTTTGTTCTGAAAATAAATTGTCTGCAGAATAATAATGCCATAATTTTGGTGTCAATTCTAATTCAGCTCAAATGGAAGCATAGTTTTTTCTTTGTTTGAATTTTTTGTTTATTTTTGGTTGAGTGAGGGGCCAGGGGGATTGGAGGAAATGAAATTGTGTAATGAAGCAGGCCTTGATCATGAAGGGCCTTACTGCTCTGCTGAGGCACTCAGACTTGGCCCAAGGGCCATTGGGAACTGTGCAGGATTTTAATGAGAGAAGTGACATGAAGTGTGTTCAAGGAGTCACGATTTGCTGTGACTGTGATTTGGACACCAAATTGGAAGAAAGGACAAAATTAGAGGAAGATTGAGAGCAGTTTGCCAGACTTCACAGTAAGTGAGGTGAGAATCAGTGGTGAGCTGAAGGAGGTGCGAGGTGGTGCACAGAAGGAATCCCGGGACAGAGCAGTGCCGATACATCTCCGTGATGACTTACATGCATGCTAAGAAGGGAATGGAAGAGTCAAAGATGTCTGCCACATTTCCTTTCTTGACAACAGGATTGCAAGTGGTATCATTCACTGAAGTAGAGAACACAGGAGAAAGAGGAGCAGGCATTTTGTTGAATAAGATAACAAGTTTGGTGTTGATTTGTCACTCTTTGGGAGTGTCTTAGTTTGTACAGCTATGACAAAATATCTCCAACTGGTAGCTTAAACAACAGTCATTGATTCCTCATGGTTCTGGAGACTGGGAAGTCTAAGATCAAGGTGCTGACAAACTCTGTCTGGTGAGGGCTTTCTTTCTGGAATGCAGATGGCTGCTTTTTTGCCATAACCTTACTTAGAGGAGAGAGAGAGTTGGGGGGCTCTGGTCTTTTCTTCTTTTTATAAGGGCACTGATCTGATCATGGGGGATTCATCCTCATGACTTCATTTAAAACTAATTACTTCCCAAAGGTCCCACCTCCAAATACCATTACACTGGGGCTTAGGGCTTCAGAATAGGAATTTGGGGTTCACGGAAACAAATATCAATCTGTAACAGGGAACCTATGGAATACTCATATGAACAGATATGCTAGGCAGCTGGATCTCTGGGACAGGCGCTCAGGATTAAATCCCAGTTTGAGGTATAGATTTTGGATATGTGTGTACATGGTGATACATGCAGCCATAGTAGTGTATATGGTCCCCTACAGAGAGTATTGGAATGAGAAGAGATTAGGTTTGTGTTTGGAAGTCCGGGGAACACTGACATTTAAGAAACAGGCAAAAGAAGAGGACCTCGTGAAAGCAAGCAAGGAATAGTTGGAGGAGAAAGGGAGCAATGGGAATATGTCAAAAAAGCAAGAAATGAGGTATTTCTAGAGGGAGGCCTTGAGCTTTAGTATCAGTAACTAGAGTTCAGTCGAGTGAGGACCAAAAAAGGTAGATGGGACTTAGCAACATGAAACTCATTGGGGTTCATGTAACTACAGCTTCTGTGGAACAGTGGGCATAGAAATGAATGAGGGGAGGAAATAGAAGCAAATGGTGAATATAAGTTGTTTTCTTTCTAACACAGTTATGGAAATTTATACCAAAAATACTTTAGCCTAACATAGGTTATGTTTTTTAATTGAGGTGAAATTCACATAAGATTATCCACTTTTTTTTTTTTTTTTTAAAGAGGGAGTGGAAGGAGGGGCAGAGGGAGAGGGAGAGAGATAATCTTAAGCAGGGGCATGCTGGGCATGGAGCCTGACACAGGGCTTGATCTCACAACCCTGAGATCATGACCTGAGCCGAAATCAAGAGTTGGATGCTCAACTGACTGAGCCACCCGGGCACCCCAAGATTGTTCATTTTAAAGTGAGCAATCTTGTGGCATTTGGTACACTCACAATGTTGTGCAACCACCACCTCTGTCTAGTTCCAAACAGTTTCAACATACCAAAAGGAAAACCCATACCCATTAAACAGTTTCTCTCTAGTCCCCACTTTCTCCAACCCCTGGCAACTACTCATCTGTGTTTTGTCTCTGTGGATTTATCTATTCTGGATAGTTCACATAAATGGAATCGTATAATGTGTAATGTTTTGTGTCTGGCTTCTTTCACTTTGCTTAATGCTATTGAGGTTTATCCACATTGTAGCATGTATCAGCACTTCATTTGGTTTTATGGCTGAATATTCCATTGTACGGATATGCTACAATTTGTTTATCTATTCCCCTGTTGATGGGACTGTTTCTACCTTTTGGCTATTGTGAGTAATATTTCTGTGGACATGCACAGTCATATATTTATTTGAGGACCTGCTTTTGCTTCTTCTGGGTATATATCTAGGAGTAGACTTGCCAGAGCCTAACAGTTTTTCAAAACTATACTTTTATAAATGCTGATGAGAATCCATGGGAAGCATTGTGCATTATAGAAAAAGTTGATTTACACCGTCTATGTTCTTTAAGTACTTTACATTCTTTTTGAGATAGATTGGTGAAATGATGAGTAAACAGTTCATCAAGAAATAGATGAGTTGAATGAAAAAATATATATACATCATTTTTAAAGAAGGAAGTTCCCTTTAGAATTGAGTTTTAAGCCTTATAAGAAAAAAGTATTTCAAATGAAGAGTGTGGATAGATTAATTCATACAGGAGAGGGAAGATGGGACAGGCATAGGTTTGAATGCTTCATTTTAATTTTTCTGAAGAAAGAGTAGGGGTTGCACTCTGGTTGGCAATAGGGAAAGAGTTGGCCGTCCCTGAGCTGTGTCATGTTACTTCTCATGGAAAGATTCTGGAGGACTTAGCAGGAGAATATTAATGTCGCTCATAAAATATGTATCTGGATAAGTCCTATGCTGATTCAGGGAGGTATCTTTTGATTCTCTATCATTTCATTATATGATCTCTATTCAATGTATATGGTCTCTATAAACTTACTGCTAGGATTGACTCATTTATTCATATCTATTGTATGTATTTTTCTCAGGCAGAGAAGGCTGATGGATTTGTCAACCTGCCCGATTTCACTGTGGAGAGAGCATCTGAATGCAAGAAAAAGCAGTGAGTTGTTTTCCACAAAACTCTGAGCCAGAATAACATCGCTTCATAATTTTAGTTTCTCGAGTGATATGGTAACTTGGAAGTTAGTGAAGGTAACACCCAAATGTCTGAGAATTTTGAACTTTATGGGTTGGCATCCTAAACAACAGCGTAAGCTTTTAACCTCTTGTTTTCTGGAATTTCATTTTGTGGAACAGATGGATTATAAAACCCCATGGAGCCTTGGCATGGCATATTTTTGACAACCGTGTCTGAGATGGAACGAAAAACAAGCTCCCATCCACGAGTGGCTGGGATCAGATGTCAAGATATTTTCTTGGTGAAGAGGATGACTAGTTCAATAGGACTCCCCAGAGCTGCAGATGTGATAGCAAAACCAGTTTCTTTTTCTTAGTTTATAACATTATTATCCTTGAAATAGAATTCTCTGAGAGATCTTGGACTTTGGGATTATACCCTGATATAATTTAAGTCCAAAAGATTTGAGAACAGACAGGAACCAAAAAAAGTCATCAGCGTATGGTCCCCATTTTACTGAGAAGGGAGTAGCCTAGAGAGTCTGAGCTTGCCTAGAACTTGCAGGAGAGCCTCGCTGGTCAGCCAGCTGTATTCCCATTCACCTGCTCTTGCTGTGATAGCATCCAGCCACATTTGGAAGATGTGCCCTCTTCACCTTTTTCTTGTTGTTGTTCTTCTACCTCTGACATCTTTTTCCGTTTTATCAGAAAGACATTTATTTCCCTACTGACCTATGTTACCAATAGTGGCAATTGACTAGATTTTTCTAAGAAAATGAATAAATGGTATTAGTTTTAAGTCTCTGTCACTCTAGTGTTGCTGCATGTATCCAGTGATACATAAGCTTGTGTTGATTTTCATGGTTTTGACCAAACTGGTTATTTACCAAAATGCTGGCCTGTGCTGCAGGACTTCTGGTCTAATGATAAAGGGGAAACATTTCAGTGTTTGCTAATTTTCAGTGTTTTCTACTTTTCTTTTAAACTGACAATAAATATATTTTTCCTCTACTCATAGGGGGAGGCTTGGATATAATTTTTGATGTGTTGTCACACTGTGGAAATTCTATACTTGATTATTTTCCTACACATAACATTCTTGTATGTATTTGATTGAATTTGAATAAATATTTTGCTTTATGGATCTGAGTATTTAAGGGACACCTCTAAGACCGTAAACTTTAATTTATTGTCTCTTTCTAGCAAAGCAGTGAGCAAATGAAAATACAAGAATATGCCCATATGTTTAAATAGAAACTATCGACCAGCCAAGACTCAGTCCTTTTCTGGATGTCTCAACATGATAAGTTAATTCTCTGCTCTCTACATGAAGTAGAGATTAGGCAATGGGTATTTAATGTAACTAAATTATTTTTTGTAAATTTACAAAGAAAGCTGGTGAATTTACCACACATATATGATTTACTTTCAAACCCATTGACAACAACACTAATTTCTAATTTTTAATGTGTCTGTGTTTTTCCCCCTTCAAGTGCTTTTAAGATCAGCCATCCACAGATCAAGATCTTTTATTTTGCAGCTGAGAATGCACAGGAAATGAGTGTGTAAGTAGAGAAAATTGCTAAATCTAATCTTTTTGGGAATAGATTACTTTGGTCAGGTGTTTGAATTTTAAGCATATGTTCATATCAATTCTTGTTAAAGCATTCTTGCTTTCTTCTTCACTGTTTGGAAGCATTTTGGAGAACTACATATATCAAAATGGCTATTTTAGGAAGAAGTAATAAGATTCTTCCGAGGGAACCACTAAGTTGAGAAAGGAAAGAATAGAAGTCATTATAAGAAAATGTTACAGCGAGAATCAGCATCACAGGGAGAAAGGCCTGAAAGTACTGTGACCAATCTCACAGCTTTTAGACTTCTACATGAAAAATATCTGTAGGATTTCTTATGTGCTGTGTAATTATCATGATGATCCCTGTGTTTATCATTAATTCATGTTCTATCCTGAAAATTTTGCAAAAATTTTGCTCAGAGTATATCTCACATAAAATTTTATATCCCTAACTCCATTTCCTGTTTGTTTTTTTTTTTTTCTGTTTAAATAAATGGAATAAATGCATAGAACACTACCTGTCCCACTCCATCCCCTGCTGGTTTAGATTATAGTGTGATCACAATGGCTCTTAATTGAATGAGGCTATATATATATATTTCAGGTGCTTGAGACATCAGAGGACCTTCTATTTAACTTAAGCCCTATTCCCAGATTTCTCAGTGTTCCTCATTACCTTCACATAACTAATAAAAATGTGTCAGTGGAGGGTGCCTGGGTGGCTCAGTTGGTTAAGCGACTGCCTTCGGCTCAGGTCATGATCCTGGAGTCCCTGGATCGAGTCCCGTATCGGGCTCCCTGCTCAGCAGGGAGTCTGCTTCGTCCTCTGACCCTATCCCCTCTCATGTGTTCTCTCTCTCAAATAAATAAATAAGTAAAATCTTTAAAAAAAAATGTGTCAGTGGAATACCTACTAGGTGCCCCACTGTGGCAGATCCTGGGCAATAGAAATAAAATACTTTTATTTACTTAAATGAAGAGAGGAGTTGTTTCTACCCTCTTTCTGATTTTAGCTTTCTCCCCTTGGCTTTCTCAAGCGCCTGAGAAAAAGAAGAGCAGATGCCCCCAGAGAAGATAAAAGGCTTCCCAAAACTCTTTTATTTCTCTTTTTATTTGTGTTGGTAACTAAATCCTATTGATTAGCAAGCCGTTGGTATGTCGGTGGTGTGTGAAAGGCTTAACATTTTACCCAGCAGTGCTTGGAGTCCCGCCATAGTGAGGGTCAGGCTGGAGCTGAGCCACCGATTAATCCCTGGTGGTTCTTTCTGGCATTCTCTGGTGGTGGTAATAAACACCAAAGTGGAATTTCTTCGGGCCTCCAAGTTAACTTCTCTCTTCTCCCACAAGATGATGCAGATGACATTTAAAGATTTGTTCTCAGTGGCACCTGAAGACCTCCCTTTCTTCCTGAGGTGGCCAGTTTAAGCCAGTAAATAACGTGTCTGGGTATTTCTTTATGAGATGCAGAGAATCTGGGAAGGAGGGACTGGCGTGTCGAGAGATGCGTCCTGTTTTAGAAGTTCACTTCCTTGGGAAACTGCATTTTTGGGTAGTGACATTTCTCTCAGGGACGATGAAGGGAAAGGTAATTACGTTTAATAGAAATGCTGTGTGTTCTGCAGGGACTCTCAATTTACAAGTACAGGGGTAAGTAATTAAGGGTAATGGAAGAGTTGCTGTCTAAACAAAGACTGGTTGGTAGCTGCCTTTCTCAGACCGCGTTTGTGGGAAGAACCTTCTTGTTTTGTATATCAATTTCTTAACACTTGTGCTCCTCCAACACATCGAGTTAATATACAACAAACTCCCAAGAAACATCTGTCATCTTCTTTTATGTAAATATAAGTCTTTTTGTGCATCCATCTATTTAGCCACAAATAGAAATTTTTCTACTGCCTTAATGTTTTTTTAAAAAAGTTCTTAGCAAAAGGGGTACTCTAAGCCAGTGGATTCCAGGAAGGAAATAGTCAAACAAGATTCTAAACAATCACGTTTTCCACAGCAAGTAACTAATGGTGGCAATTAAAAGGATATGAGTTTTAGGTAAGAGCTGGGAGGAATGATTTCTTTATTGTCAATACTCTTTCGTTTTGCTATATTTCTGTATTTCCGTGTTCCGGAAAGGAACTTAGAAATGCCTTTTCTTGTTTCAAGCATTCTCAGTTCAAAAATATTTTTTGTCTTGATATGTTAAAAAATTTGTCTATTTTACTTTTAGATGTTTTTTTGGGGGGAAGGGTCAATATACAGTTAGGAAATCAGGTATAAACTAAGAATAGTTTTATTTTGGTATTTTAAAAGTGAACTGTTAAATTCACTGTGCTTTGATCAGTTTTTAAAACTGTACATTAAAATGTATCTTTTAGTTTAATGACACACAAAATATATTCTTGTAAAAGATCCTATAATACAGAAGTAGGTAAAGTAAAAACCTTTTTATCCACCCAACTTCACCCTCCAATTCAACTTCTCTCTTTAGGATTAACTACTTTTTTTAAAAGTTTTTATTTATTTATTTGAGAAAGAGAGAGAGAGAGAACACAAGCACGGGGAGGGGCAGAGAGAGAGGGAGGAGCAGACCCCCCTACTGAGCAGGGAGCCAGACATGGGGCTCGATCCCAGGACCCCAGGATCATGACCTGGGCTGAAGGCATACATTTAACCGACTGAGCCACCCAGGCGTCCCAAGATTAACTACTTTTTTTTTAAACATTTTTTTTTTTTAAAGATTTTATTTATTTATTTGAGAGAGAGAGAGCACATGAGAAGGGGGAGGATCAGAGGGAGAAGCAGACTCCCGCTGAGCAGGGAGCCCGATGCAGGACTCGATCCTGGGACTCCAGGATCGTGACCTGAGCCGAAGGCAGTTGCTTAACCAACTGAGCCACCCAGGCGCCCAAGATTAACTACTTTTAACAGTATGATTGACATTCATCCTTTTTGATGGTTTTCATTGCATATCGATTCATGCACATACACAAATACATAGTTTTAAAAGTACATTGAATCAGGCCAATCATATTGTTCTGTACTTGCTTTTTTCACTTAACAGTATGTTAGGATTTTCCCAGGCCATCAGAAGGCTTCCTATCCCAGTCTTTTTATTAGCTTCGTAATAACATTGATTGTACTGATGAAATTAGTGGTATACTTTATCCATTTTCCTGTTAATGGATGATTATATCGTATCAGTGTTTTTATCTTTTTGCCATTGCAAATCTTATTGAATTAACATTCTTCCACATTTATTTGTGGTTTGTAGGATAGACATTTATAATTGGGGTGGATACTTAAATTTAGACTAGCATCATCAAATTGCCTTTTTTAAAATTGGCTGTATCAATTTTGATGTTCAACTAAGCAAAGGATGAGAATGTTTCCTCCTAAATCCTAGAAATCAGTGGTATTTTAGGTTTTGCCAATCTAGTGGTGAATATTTTCCTGTGTTTGTATATGCATTTCCCAAAATACTATGGAGGCTGATAAATTTTTTCTATTTTTTTATAAGCCATTTATATATATTTTTTTGTGATTTCCTGTTTTGTTTGTTTGTTTTGGGGTTTTTTATTATTCTATCGGGTCTTGATGAACACTTTCTGGTTCCTATGGTGGGATCTGGGCCCATGTATTGGTCTGGTTTTAAGTGGCTATTAAGGAGCTCATATTTGTCATGATGCTAAAGGGGCTTCTTAAAATACCTTTTTTAAAAAAAAGATTTTATTTATTGTTTATTATTTATTATTTATTTATGATGCAGTTGTCATAATTCTGTAGTTGGTCTAAACATTTCCAGAAACAGCATAAGTTTGTGGTGTTGAAACCTAAAACCACTTATTTATTTATTTAGAGAGAGTGTGCAAGTGGGGGAAGGGGCAGAGGGCCAGGGAGGAGGGGAAAGAGAGAGAGAGAGGAGCAGACTCCCTGCTGAGCATGGAGCCCCTGAGATCATGACCTGAGCTGAAATCAAGAGTTGGACGCTCAACGGACTGAGCCACACAGGCACCCCTGAGGGGATTCTTAAATGAGGCTGAAGCTCATCTTTCTTCTTGTAGAGAGCCTATTTGTTTTTAAAAATGAAATTTATGTATTTCCTGTCAATAAAAAATAAATATGGCAAGACCATGGCAGGTTGAGGGTTGGGTAAGGATTCCTAATTTGTTGACAGTTGAAGACTTGGGAATACGCGATAATTATGTGGTAGGGGAGCAGTGTGCTGGATAGTTCACGAGGCAATACAGGACTAGAAGAAATGGAGAGCATAACTGAGTTAATAAGTGCATAGCATTCTTATTTTATTGGTATTGGTTGACTTAGGCCACTATTGAATGCCCTGGTTTCTCAAAAAAAAAAAAAAAAGTGAACATATAATATGGAATACTTTTTAAAAATATAGAAAATTGGAAAGAAGTGGGAAATAAATCAGATTATTACCACCCCAAAAATAATATTTTCCCCTTTAAATAAAAGGTTATATAGCTAGGAACATATGAAATAGATGCATTTTGTGTCTTTTATGAATTTGTATGATGAAATATGTTCCTGACTAACCCCTTGAGAAGGAACTCCAATGGCCTTAGGTCATGAGGCAAGTTTGAGTTCCTTAAGGTGTGTCTAGTTCTATTTTTATCATTGATGTTTAGTTGAAAATCATTGCCAATAAGATAGTAAATTGATAAGAAGATAGGACACTGTCATTTTTTACCTAACATAAAATTCTTCAAGGAATTAAACATTTCCCCTGTCAAACTCTGAGATCTTCTATTGATTAATATAAAAATCCTGTCTTAAAAATGGATCATCTTCTCTTTATTTTTTTTGTAAAATAAAATTACATTTTAAGAATTATAGAGATGGGACGTTAATGTTAAGTAAGGTTACTAAATTCAATGATAGAGGTTTGATTGCTAAAAATTTGCTAAAAATTTGAAATGCACAACTACAAAAATATACTTGTTCATATATTTAGAATATTTAATGTAGTTGCCCACCTTAGCAAGCTGGATAATGGACCACCTTGTTTCTTGTCTTACAAAGAATATCCCAAGGAAGGAAAGTATTGTGAAACAAGTGGTTTTAGGTTTCGATACCACAAACTTACACTGTTTCTGGAAAAGTTTAGACCAACTATAGAATTATGACAATTGCATTATAAAGTCTGGCACAAGACCTTACTTCAGGGTCTAGGGGAAGTTGGATAGGAGATGATCAATCTCTTTAGCTAAGCATTTATTTTCTATTTGAATTTTAGGTGGTTAAACAAGCTTGGGATAGCTATAATCCATCATGATTCTGCTACGAAGGATGAAGGTATGTTCTATTTTAAATTTCTGAAAATTTAGCAAGAATATTAGGATGAGAAAGGATGGAAATACAATGTCAAGTTCTATGCATAGTCTTGTCTAATGAAACATACTTTGGCATTTAAGATTATCTGGAAATATGTAGAAGCAGACATATTCACACAGACTCACCAACATGGAATAGAGCTTCCCATGCTGGCTAAGAATGCTTTTTACACTTCACCCACACACTAGCAGCTGTAGGCTTCACTGACATCTCAAACAACTGCCAGTGTAAATGTTTTATTGTCCCACTCACTGAATTCTTACTCAGAGATATGATCTCGTCATGATCTAGACAGGTAACTTTCATCCCACCGTTTCCTCTCTGATATTTTAATATTTCCACCAGGTGTATGCTGAGGCTAATTACTCTAAGTTTGTGCTCGGAAACTGAATGTCAAATTGGGACACAGGCCATATTTTTAGCTCAGTCTGTAGTTCTCTGGGTTCAAAAGCTACAGGAGTCAAAATCTTCTTAAAGTTGCAATTACTCCTAAATATTGAGAAGAAGAAGGCTTTAGGTTCGGGGTCACAAAGTTGATACTATTTCTGAAGTACACAGGCCATATAAAACTTGGGAATTGGAAGGTGGGGAGTTACATCTTTTGATAGCAAAAATTGTAAAAGCTGAAATTGAGAAATAGAAAAGTGAAATCAGTGTCCTGACCATCTCCTTGGTCCTCTTTGCTGCAACATCAATACCCATTGTATATTTGAAGTGCATTTATAGATTGTGAGGAAAAAAATCACTATACAAAAATCTTCTCCCTATCCTGGTATTTAAAGCCTTCCATGATATGGCCTTAAGCAAACTTTCAGTTTCATTTTTTTTTTTTTTTAACCACATCCCTTAGGGGACTCTGTATAATTGGCTCAGCCTGCACCCTCGACTTGGTCCTCTCATTACTCTGTGCGCGCTGTTGATTGTTTACTTATCCTGCCATTTCCAGCTCCTCATGGCTCCTATGATCAAAATTAATCACTACTGATTTTATGATCCCTTAGTATATGATTCACACCTCTTTTGAGGAATGATTTTATTTTCCCTGAGCTATGGTTAGTCCTTTTCCTAAGTATTAGACACTCAAGAGGGCGGAAACCCTAATATGGCTATCATTTTTTTTCTGCTCCTATGTAATGCCCTTGCACCAGGTAGCTCAGTAGATGAGTCCTTTCTGAATCGGATTGGAATTGCAATAGCCAGATGGAGCAAAACCTCTGCTCATGCATTATGGAATGAGTGATGACACGGTTGAAACATTAAGCATTTTCGTTTTTGTATAGAATGTTACAGTGAGAGTGAACAGGAGGACCCCGAAATAGCTGTGGAGACACCACCCCCTCCTTACTCTGCAGAGACTTTCTCTCCTTTGGTACGTACTGACCTCAGTAGTCTTTTGGTCATGATCAAGTGCGTGGACATCGTTCCTTCCAGTGGCATAGAATCTACTTTGGCCGATAAATTTTTTAGAACGGGCTAAATTAAGGTACCTGCCGAGGAGCAAGTGCAGTTCTCAGATTTTGAGTCTTCTCCATGGCAACCCCCTGGTATGACAAACTTGGTGTATTTGTGAGTGACCCACAGATGTATCATGCTGACAGGACTTATGGTAATGCAGAGGGCTTCTAGGTGGTAGGCCAGGGCTTGCAGAGATTTGTTTTATAATGTTTATTTATACTCTACTGGTCTTCAGAAAGAATTGAAAGTGCTTGTCCTGGGCGCAGGCATTATAATGATGCCAAATGAACATAAAGGGGATGAAGGCAATAGATGAAGAGAAAATTAGAGTCTGAAAGGTATCAGGAAGCCAGGAGTGGGGTTACAGCATTCAATCTGCACGTGGAATAATTCTTCTGTATATTCACTAGAGAGAAGTCCAAGTTTAATATCAGCTTTGGAAGCATCCAGCATTAAGTTCAGGTTATCAATGGATGTTAAGACTGTGGCATGTTGCTTTGTATTTAGATGCTTGTTGGCATTATAGTGATGTCCCCTAGAAGGATTCAAGCAAGAATTTTCGGGAAAGCTTATTTATGGTTCTTCTACCTACCATGTGCCAGGACTTATGTAGGTGCTTTAAATATATAACCATTTACTGCCCCCGTCCCCAAATAACCCTGAAAACTAGTATTATTTAATCTGCATTTCACTGATTACCAATGAGCATCTCTTCGTATTTATTGGCCGTTTGGATTTTGTTTTGTCTAATGTCTGTTAAGTCTTTAGCACATTTTTAGCTGTCTTACTATTACTATTTTGTATTTATAAAGTTTCTTTATTCTATCCGTTAGCTCTATGTCAGGTAAAAGTGAGGCGCATTTCCTTTTCTGTTTCATGGCTTTTACTTTTTTAGACGGTTTCATGGTTTCTTTTTGTAGACAGTTGTTCTTGGTTTCAATGTGGCAGATTCATCCATCACTTCTGTTGTGGTTAGTGCCTTTGTTTCTGATTTTAAAAATTGTTTTCTATAGCTAGGTCATGGGAAGGTAGATATGGCTGTCCTCATTTCATGATTTAGGAAACTGAAGTTCAGAGGTAGAATGGGCTGGCTACTCATGCAGTGAACGGGGCACCTCAGAAGGGAACCCAGTGTGTCTCACTCTATTGTACGTGTTCTTTCCACCCCACTACAGTCCTTTTCCATCCACGGACCCAAGTGATGAGAGGTTCTGATAGGTTACAGCAGCTCCATCACCTACTGAACCTCCTGTGCCAGAATTTTCTATTTGTGTGATGAAGTTTGCACCTTTATTTCTGTTTTGCCAGTTTCTGGATTTAGGGTATTAAATAGCATTTAAGTGATGACCTCTATTATTGTCACCTGTCAGTGGAGAATTGTGGTCCCTTTTCTAGTTTACTTAGCTAGCAACCAACACCAGAAATAAATATTTGTTGACTGAGTATTTTTATCAAAATCTCTATGCAATAGGACTCGTCTGTTAAATTAAGCAACATATAAATAAAATTAAACTTTGAATATAGTAAAATTTAGACTGTTTTTTGAACTAGACTTACAATATATCCTATCTGAATATATTCATAACTTGCCCTTAATGTAGACTTTCTTCTCTTTTAAAATCAGTTTCTGAATTTAGAAAAGACAAATAGACATGCATTGGTTTAATAGAGAAGCATATATTTTTGTTTAGTTTCTCTGTTTCTGTTTCTCTTTGTCTCTGTCTCTCTTCCCTCTCTCTCTTTCTGTTTCTGTCTCTCTGTCTCCATCTCTGTCTATCTCTGTCTTTTCTTCTTTTCTGTTTCTCCTATTTTAACCTGTGACACACAGTGATTTGGTCAGTCCTCCATCCTTCTCTTCCTGAAATTCTCTCTCCCTCCTACTGTTCCCCCTGGCCCCCCGCCATGACTCTTAGATGATTTATTTTAGTTCTAAAATACTGTGATTTTTAGTTTTCTAGGGGCAACTACTGTCACAGGTTACTAAGAGCATTGTCAGGTATCTAGAACTCTACTTGAAAGTAACAGCAACCAAATTGTCTTTTTAGATGAGGGATCATGGCTCAATTGCATTATACCATGACAGTGTTTCCTGATGTTACAGTAGAAGCTCATGGAATGCTTGTTTCAAAACAAACAAACAAAGGGATGCATATGAGACCAGTAAGTTAGGTCATCGAAGTAGGAGGATTCTTTAAAAATTTCTGAGTCATTAATCAAATGTTATTTTTTTAAAGTTCTAAGTTGAGCATTTTTCTGGAAGGCCACTAAGGCTATTTTTTTTTTCTGAAGAAATATATTGGAAATAGATACATGTTGAACAGTTAGGTTTTATTTTCCTTAGAAACAGAATATGTTCCTCCTGCTCACATATTGTCCAGGCAGATTTTGTTTTTGTTTCCTCTTGTTTCTTAAAAACAGACATGCAAGGCACTTGGTTAAAATAACATTTAAGCTTTTTATTGAAACAGATGATAATTGAAGAACTCATGGTGACTTTTTTTTTTTTTTTTAAGATTTTTATTTATTTATTCATGAGAGACAGAGAGAGAGGCAGAGGGAGAAGCAGGCTCCCAAGGAGCAGAGAGCCTGATGCGGGACTCGATCCCAGGACCCTGGGATCATGACCTGAGCCGAAGGCAGACGCTTAACCATCTGAGTCACCCAGGCGCCCTCATGGTGACTTTTATCCAGAGAATGAATCAACTTATTGTTTTGGCTCAACCTGGCATGGGCTAGCTATGACTGAGCTATATAAACCTAGGTGCAAATTTTTTTCTCTAAGTTCTTGCTTTAAAAAAATATTTGGGGGAGCCTTCTCCCTCTCCATCTGCCCCTGCTTGTGTTCCCTCTCTCACTGTGTCTCTCTCTGTCAAATAAATAAATAAAACCTTTAAAAAATTTTTTTTGGGTCATGAACTTTCATTTTGGAATGATGACTCAAAAATATAAAACAATGCTAGTCTAGAAAATTATCTCCCCAAAATTAGAGTCTGGAATTAAAAATGTAATTCAATGTCCAGTCATTCTAATGGCTGCAAACTGTAAGACTTCAGCAGCAGACCAGTTTGGACCTCTGCTTCTCGTGGGTGGCATCACCTTCCATGAGAGAATAAAGAACGCTTCAGGGTCTTGCCTGAGGGAACAAGAGGTTTCTGTTTATGTTGCTTCTTCTTGGGAAGACTTCACAGGCTGGAGAGTGGAAAGGACATCCATTGATTCACAGAGAAATTAGAAATGGGGACCTTTTTTCAGGTTTACTAAAAAGGCTTAAAATAGATGGGACCCTGTAGATTTCACTTGGGAAGTTTCTCTGTAGAAATCAGTATCTAGGATTCCTTGAAATCCATGATTCCTTGAAACCCACAAAAGAGCAAAAAAGGATCTGACTTCATTCACCTTTCAAACTCAGTAAGTTCCAAAGTGATTTAAGAGCTTAACCATCATTAAAAATTGGTTACACATGTTTGTTCTCTAAGTTTAATTATGAACAAGCATTGTCTGGTACCTCGATCTATGTTTATATATTTATTCATTTAACTAATTTTGTTGAGAGCCATTGTTCTAAATATTTGGGACACATGAGTAAATAAAGACAATGATTTATTTCTTCATGGAGTCAAACTTTTAGTTGAGAGAGACTATAATATAGTCTCTATAATATAATATGTAATTATATTTATATAAGTATATATTATAATATATAATTATAATTATATAATATAATATAGTCTCTGTAATATAATAAATAATCAATATACTAAGTAAATTATCTGCTACGTAGTAGAAATAGAATACGGTGAATATGGGGAGATAGGGTGCTGGGGGTGGGACTGGGACTGTGAACAGAGTAGCCAGGAGAGGCCTGAGTGAGAGGTCTGAGCAAAACTTTTGAAAAGTGGTGTGAGAGACAGTCAGGTGGATGTTTGGGAAGGAGTTTTCTAAGCAAAGGGAACAGTTAGAGACAAGATCTCCTTGGTGTATAGGTAGCAGTGCAAGGAGATCAGTGTGGCTGAAGCAGGGTGAGTTAAGATGAGAATAGCAGGAAATGATCTTGGAGGGTAATGATGGCCATACCATGTAGAGCCCCAGGGCCCCACAAGGACTTTGATATTTTGAGTTACTTAGGGAGCCTTTGGGAGTTTTGAGCAGAGGAGTGATGTGATCAGTTTCCCTCTTAAAAGGACCCCTCAGGCTACTGTGTGGGAGAGACCCTCGGAGGTGGGAGGGGGGTAGGATAGAAGCAAAGAAATCAAAGGGAGGGTTGCAGTGATCTGGTGTGGGAGATGGTGGTGATGCAGGTCAGAGCATAACTGAAAAATGGAATGGGCAGATTTTTGAATTTGGTTGGAAGGTAGACCACCCAGTGTGTGGATCAGATAGGAGAGAAACTGAGAAGATAAGTACTTATAAACCACAGCTTCAGACAGCTCCTGTACATTATCTTAACGTGGTCGTCCTCATATTTTGATGCTTTTTAAAAGTACAATTCCTTTTATATCTAAATGATGAAAAATATCATCTAAAGCCAACCAAAGGAGCCGTAAATAAAAATAAACACTGTAGACCATGGCCCCTTGGCCAGTGGCAGAGGAGGAAGTAAAAAATGAAACACAGAAAGGGGTAAAATCAGTTTTAGAAATTCATTTTTTTTCTTTTCTTTTTTTTTTTTTTTTAAGATTTTATTTATTTATTTGACAGAGAGAGACACAGCGAGAGAGGGAACACAAGCAGGGGGAGTGGGAGAGGGAGAAGCAGGCTCCCTGTAGAGCAGGGAGCCCGATGCGGGACTCGATCCCAGGACCCTGGGATCATGACCTGAGCTGAAGGCAGTCGCTTAACCAACTGAGCCACCCAGGCGCCCGGTTTTAGAAATTCAAATTAATTTTGGTAGGACGACTCTCACACAGCTGCTTA